CTTTCTTGGCCCACTCGAGTATGCTAGCATGTTGCTCAAAAACATGACCAACATGCTTGCCACCGTAGCGTTCCACGATCTTCGCCGCCAATCGGCGGTCCGACTTTAGCTTTCTCGCTAAAGCTTCCTTGCTTTTACCCCCGCAGATCCTTTCATAACTCTAGCAGAGGTTCCTCTGCTAGTGCTGGAGATTCCGCCACTTCTCTTGCCGGCTCCCCCAGCCTCCTACCTGAAGAGACACCAACTGGAGTCTTCGTCTTGTTGCCGCAATCGTTCGGGGACGGTTGCGTACTCTGAGGCCTGCCAGGGTTTTAACGGGACGAGGCAGTTGCGACATTAGCCCGTCAGGAATTTCTGATGAGAGTCACCCCATCGTACTCAGGTGTCAGAATGCCGCCACCACCAGCATAGGGTTCTACCAAATCCAATACAAAAGTTTCTCCAAAAAAAAAAAAACAGTCCAAAGCCACAGTCGTCTAGGGAGTGGTTAAGCCGTGAAGACCGCAGGTCATTTATCGTTACCCAGGATGCACCAACTTGGAGCCGACTGCCCTACATAAACGTTACTGTAACGAAAACTGTTTGGGTTTTTAATTTCAGAGTATCCAGTTCAGAGACATACTAGTCCCCGCAAAACATTTTTTTTGAGAGGAGCTTGGAGAGAGCAGCTGTAGTTCCTTTCCTAATAAATATTTTTACTAATACTAAGTCTTAAAATACAGTTAAAGGAAAGTTGGATCAATAAATTTAAAATTTTTCTGAGAAAAAAATCTGAAAAATTCCCATTTGACCATTTGGTCAAATTTCAAAAAAAAACAAAAAAAACCAAAAGCTCCCATATTGCGCCAGCCACTTTTCTATTTTTTTGGATCAGAATTGCGGCTGCAATCTTGGAAATCGTACAGGACGCTTCTTTTACATGTCATTTCAACAATTTATTTAACTATAATACACCCAATGAATAAGCTTAAAAAAAAAAACATTTTGTATTCGTCATGAATGTATTTATTTATTAAAACAAAAATCGGACCGATTAGATTAAAAAAAAAGTCTCGAAGATCAGTCTCGGAGGGTCACACTGAGACGATCCCTTAAAAATTAAACTGTTCATGAATATTTAATACAACAACAATACATTTATTTATTAGCAGATAAATGTAAAAAATGTGTCGAGTTTCTGCTAGAAAAGATTTCCATAATCCTATATGTATAACTTCAGCTGCAACCGAACATTAAGTAACCCATATAACAAGTTTCATCGAGATATCTCAATTTTAACTCAAGTTAAAGCTGTCACGGACCGACGGACAGACAGACAGTCAACCGGATTTCAACTTTTCTCGTCATCCTGATAATTTATAGATATATATGTATATCCCTATATACAATACCTCGCTTAGTTTTAGGTAAGCAAATGTATAAAATTCCAATTTTCACGAATATTCACGTTCAGGGTGATTGGTGAGTCGTCTGTTACACTGTTCTCTCTCTCTCATAGGTTAACTCTACTTATTCGGTCTACGGTGTTGCGTCGATCACGAACTGAACCAATAAGGATTCCAAAGATACAAGTTAATTCTTTTCTGCTGACTTATGATATTTTTCCGTTTCTTGAGACTACGTTCACAAGAGGATTCTTTTAGCGCCTATGATCGGCAAATTCTTTTTAGTGCAAAATGCGACTTGCATTCAGATGGAGTACAAAAATATTTTTGATTACCTATTTTTTATCGTTATTCAACCTTGTCTAATGATTATTATTATATTGTGGATATTTACATATATCTACACACATATTTAAAAGGAATTTTTAATTGCGAACTATTATGAAGAAGAGCACCTTTCCTTCGTCCCTTTGTGTTTTCTCGTAGTCGACTAGCAAAAGGTTTGGGTGGCAAATGTCAGTGTGTAAACCGGCACTTAGTTGTATTGTGGCTTCAGAAAACATATTTGGTAGCCAAAATAAGTGATTGAATATTATTAATTGGAATGTCGACAGTACAAACAGGTACGAACTGTTATGGAAAGATCACCTAAGTATTAAACAAGTAAATATTACGACAAAATACTCACGAAATTTAGTATGTTGAAAGCTATCGGTGTTATTTTTCATGTGGACAGTATCATCCAGAATTATTCGGGGTCTCGTATAAAAAGTTGGAAAACATAACTGATAACTGATTAATAAATCAATATTTAATTAGTATAAATCTAATAGGATATTTTACCACTTGTATCTTGGACAAAATTTAAAACTCCATTCATCTACTAGCCTACATCTTAACTTGCACACAGGTAAAGTTTTACATTTTTGATGTACTATTTGTGCTATTTACAGTTACTTAAAATATTCATCTTTTAACAACTTTTTACATGAATTAATTCGGCATCAGTGCTTCGATGAACTTAGTTCAAGTTTTGGCGATAAAGCGCCATAAAGGACAGTGTTTATTGATGGTACGGTGAATGTAATCAAGGTCGTGGATCACTTCAACACAAATTTCGTGAAGGTTGTCTAAAATCAGTTTTTATTCAATGCGAGCTCTGACACATCCACCGAAACAAATGAAAAAATAAGCACTTAAAACATCGATTTAATGAGTAATCCACCGAAAAGTTCTCACTTGGGACTGAATGACTTCCAAACCAAAAGTTATTACGATATGTGAATACAATTTTTTGTATAATATTTATTTGAAATATCATCTTTTCATAAAATTGAGAAAAACTTAAATCTTTTTTATATTTTTTTTACTATTCAAACAAATATCATCATTATTTTTAAATCTGGATCATTTATGCACACATCCTTTATGTTATCTTTGAGCGGTTCTATTGTGGGATTTTTCAGGAATATACCGTTGATTTAAGGAACGTTCAACAGTTTTCGGTGTGGCTTATCTAGGTTTAATTGCCCGCCTAAGGAATATATTGATATCCAAGTTGTGAAGGATATCAGTAGTTCGTCGGGAGGTGTGGCAAGGCACCTCAGCAGGCGTATAAGTGTACTGGGCTGCTGAAGGGTTCAGTGTTGCCAAATATGGTACAAAACCACCTTGAAGTACATTGGTGTACTGTTCACTAGTCATCGTCCCCTCAACAAAATAAATTGGTCCAGGACCTTCAAAAAATATACGGCCTTAAATCAATACATTGGGGGGATATTTTACCGTTTTTTTAATGCAGTTCTCCACATAACGTTCACACGACGACTACGACGCACAAATTGAACGATTTCTGTTACTGCTTCTATCCGATCTTAAAGCTTTGTTAAGGAGAAAGCCATATTAAATAGCAGCATAACTTTGAATGGGGGACTTTCATAACTTTTTATACTCTCGCAAGAAAGTTGCTAAAGAGAGTATTATAGTTTTGTTCACATAACGTTTGTTTGTAAGTCCTAAAACTAAAAGGGTCAGATATAGGGTTATATATACCAAAGGGTGAACGAGTAGAGTTGAAATCCCGATGTCTGTCTGTAACTTGAGTAAAAATTGAGATATCATGATGAAAMTTGGTACAGTATTTCTTGGCTTCATAAGAAGGTTAATTTCGAAGATGGGCAAAATCGGCCCACTGCCACGCCCACAAAATGGCGAAAACCGAAAACCTATAAAGTGTCATAACTAAGCCATAAATAAAGATATTAAAGTGAAATTTGGCACAACAGACCGCAATAGGGAGGGGCATATTTGCACGTAATTTTTTTGGAAAGTGGGCGTGGCCCCGCCCCCTACTAAGTTTTTTGTACATATTTCGGAAACTGCTATAGCAATGACAACCAAACTCTATAGAGTCGTTTCCGTCAGGCATTTCCATATACAGTTCAAAAATGGAAGAAATCGGATAATAACCATGCCCACCTCCCATACAAAGGTTACGTTGAAAATCACTAAAAGTGCGTTAACCGACTAACAAAAACGTCAGAAACACTAAATTTTACTGAAGAAATATGAGAAAGAAGCTGCACCCAGGCTTTCTTTAAAAATTGAAAATGGGCGTGGCGTCGCTCACTTATGGACCAAAAACCATATTTCAGGAACTACTCCACCGATTTCAATGAAATTCGGTACATAATAGTTTCTTAACACCCTGATGACATGTACGAAATGGTTCACAACCACGCCTTCTTCCAATATAACGCTATTTTGAATTCCATCTGATGCGTTCTCTGTATAATACACGTATATACATTATGAACCAATGATGATAGTGGAATAAAATATGGTAACATGTAGTGCACAGTCTACTTAATATTTAGTTGGTGGGAAAAAAACAAATTTTTTGCCTGCAAACATTCCAAGAAAGTTATTCGTAAATTTTTACATATATTTACCCTGTTTCTAATGGGTTGGCGGGGTACTATATGTAAAAGGCAACCTACGTATAATATAACCACCATCGTACTTCACATAATTCCATATTTTCACATGGACCTGATAAACTTCACTAACCCCGAGTTGAACAAACGATAAAGTTGTTTCACAAATATTTTCGCTCTGCATAGATCACCTCTTTGTTCTTCCGCTATGATGCAAAAGAATGCGGTCAACTCCAAATGCCAATGCGTCAAGAATTAGGAACGACGACGACTTTCGCACAATGCAAGAGCTTCCTCATACACGCTCATACGGCCACAAGAAGTGGAGGGCTTGGCGTTTGTAAATGCTGTTGCAACTTACGCGTACACATGTGCTATACATATTCTTATGTAGCAGATCAGCAACATCTTTGCAATTTATTTGCTCGGCGTCGTCGGCGGAAGAGCGTAAGCGTTTTCGCACATCGCCCTCTCAAGCGGCTACAACAGGCACACGATACCGACATCTCCATCGACGACATGGCCGAGTGAGCAATCGTGTACGAAAGGCGCGCGCGCGAAGAGAGTGCGCATTGGCAACGCCATATTGAGATAGCGATCGCCAAGCGCTGCAGCGGCACTGGCGAACAGTAGGCAATGAACAACGTGAACGCCAATTTGAATCGAAAACACGAGCGTCGCAATAAAGCAAATTCGAGTGGAAATCAAAACAACGAAACACATACGCATAGCGGGCGGAACGCGGTTAGTTGGGCAATGAAAGCTACAAAACATTGCCATAGAAATTGAGGTGCGCCGTGTGGAGTGGGGTGGCAGCAAGGTGTTTGATTAGCCAGCTATTTGAATTGCTGACTAGCCATTGAGCGCCCCAAAATAATGCTCACAGTGCGCGCTCTAAACTTTTTTCGCCTAAATACGCTCAGCGCTGGCGCTGACGCTGAGCTATTTACATTTTCGTTTTGGCGACGAGTAAACAGTTCGGCGTGAACTGTTTTGTGCTTGTGGCGGGTGTGATTGAATTCTGATTTTTCGAAATTAAATTAAAGTTAACGGCAGTATTTAGTGAAAATATATTTTCGTAATTTTTCGGAATGACTACACACGAAACGCAAACATACGAAGTGACATAGTGATTTGTGCAGAAAAGAGCTCTCACAGGCGAAAAGGGACTATTTTCTAAGAGCGGTAACGGGATTTAAAACAAAATAAATCAAGTGCAAATTACATTCGAAACGAAGCGTGAAGAAACAAGCATAAACGCTCGCAGCAGAAATAGAATGTGTCTAATTTATGGGTACACATAAGAGGTGCGTGTGACCAGAGAATTTTCCAAACGTAACGAAAATTAAAGTATAATATTATATGTTTTGAGATAATTAGTGAATGTATAAGTGTATACGTATCCAGAAAACAAATTTTTCTACGATTTTCAATACTATAAAATGCTATTAAAGTGATATTTGAATTAAGCCGGACGGTAAATAAATATTATACCCTGAATGGGTACATACATATATTAAGTTTGCCCCGAATAAGAGTAAGGTCCAGAAGGAAACATCGCAGACCCTATATGTATATGATAATATATACAATATATAAATGATCAGCATGACGAGCTGAGTAGATTTAGCCATGTCCGTCTGTTTTTGAGATGTCGACCTGAAAATCTGTAAACGGCTTTTTCTTCCCGAGAAACTGGTCACAACATCAGCTGTTTTCCAGGAATTGTACACAGCTTCACCTGATGGAACGGAAATCTGTATTTTTAATACAGAGTTGCATATAAAAGGAATTAGAAACAATTTTTTTAAAGTTATTTTTATTGGATAACATTATCGAGTGAATATTTTCGAAAAAAGTTTATAGCCTGTTTCTTGCTTTTCCCCACCAAATCTTCGAGTGCAATGTAAACGCGTTGCCGATCTTGTTTCGATGTTCGGTTTCCCAGAAGGCCTATATGTACAGTTCTAAATCAATCTAATTTTCACTTCATGGATAATAATTACAATAACTATATAACGTTAACTGAGTAAGTTGAAATAATCAACTTGGAATAGTATGTTTCATACAATTAGAAACATTTAATAATATTTTGACACAATAAATAATCTTACACAATATTATATAAATTGAAATTCTTCTTCTTCTTTACTCGCGTAGAAATCGCTTACCCGATTATAGCCGAGTTAGCAACAGCGCGCCAGTTTCTTTTTTTCGCTACGTGGCGCCAATTGTACATTCCAAGCAAAGCCAGGTCCTTCTCCACCTGGTCTCTGGTCTTTCCAACGGAGTGGAGGTCTTCCGCTCCCGCTATCTTTTAATTCGCTGAACTATGTCAATGTCGTCGTATATCTCATACAGCTCATCGTTCCATCGAATGCGATATTCGTCATTGCCACAGCTCATAACGTCGACTAATCAGATGCCTCTGCACCACATAGCAGGACGGTAATAATGAGTGACTTATAGAGTTTCGTTTTTGTTTGCTTGCTTTGCTTCTCAATTGCCTACTCAGTCCGAAGTCGCACCTGTTGGCAAAAGTTATTCTGCGTTGGATTTCTAGGCTGACATTGTTGGTGGTGTTGGTGGTTCCAAGATAGACGAAATTATCTACATTATCTGTTCTGTATCTGCATCAGGGACGTGAGTGCTAAGTCGCGAGTGCGACGACTGTTTGTTTGATGACAGGAGATATTTCGTCTTGCCCTCGTTCACTGCCAGACCCATTTTTGTTGCTTAGGATTGGTTACTTGTAGGTTTATACAATGGTCGGAACCGCCGATATCCGACCACTGTAGTACACAGCTGTCATACAAACTAAATGATAGGATTTCAGTTCCTGAGGTGAAACTTTTTTGTATGTGAATTGTATTCTATCTTTGGTGCAGTTTAAACTAACGCTTTGTATTGTTTTTATACTCAGGTTGTAAGAGTTTTGTTCACCTAATGATTAAATTAATATAAAAAAAATCTAATTTGACACCAGGGATATCAGAGCAGGGGTACCTACGGAAAAATATTTTTTGAAAGTGGGCGTAGCCCCGCTTCTGATTAGTTCAATGCACATATCTCCTAAACCACTTAAGCTACAACAACCAAACTCCATTTGATTCCTTCCTTTCGAGTGTACAAATCAGGAAGCAGTTAATATAACGAGATAAAACTTTGCATGCTAATGCCTTTACGATATGCCATCATAAGGCCACAAAAAGTTCGAATCTATCAAGAAATGGTCAAGCCCCTATGCACCGAATTCTCGGGCTCTAGTACTCCTGCACATAGTACATAGTCGACTTTTTTCCGAAAATATTAGTAAATATGACAGATTTATAACTGAAATTCTGAGAGAACCCTTCCCTGATAGTAGTATGTTTGACAAATATGTTGAATTTAATCAATACTTCCCTTAGCTCCCATATACATAATACAACAATTTTCGAACTTCCAGGGGACTTCATACCGCATTCATGCATGTATATTGGCCAATATCTGAGTTGTCTTAATAAAAGTGGGCGAGCGTGTTTCTCTTATAACGGTGCATGTTTGTGCTTAGAATAAATTAAATCGTTTGAAAATTTGCCCCTGACCCCATATGACTGACAGCCTTATATCATTGGCTGAACTATGCCAATGTCGACGTTTATCTTGTACATGTCATCGCTCCATCCATTGCGGTACTCGCCATTGCCAATGCGCAAAGGACCATTAATCTTCCGAAAAACTTTTCTCTTGAGCACTGGTAACGTCGACTCATCAAATGATGTTATTGCCCATGCCTCCGTACCATTTAGTAGGACGGGAAAGATGAGGGACTTATAGAGTTTTTCTTTGTAAGTCGGGGGAGGACTCAGTCCGAAGTAGAACTTGCTGGCAAGAGCGATTTGGCGTTGGATTTCATGGCTATTATTGTTGTTGGTGCTAATTCTGGTTTCAAGATAAATGAAATTATCTAAGACTTCGAAATTATGACTGTCGGGTGGTGCGCCGGCTGGAGGAGCTTGGCTGTCCGGAAGTTGCTCTTTGGCGGAGTTATTTTTCGGACAGAAA